AACTTATTCTCAACTGTCAGAACTTTAAAACTTTATTTATTTTTATTAGAAAGGCACATTGCAGAGAAAAGAAGAGACAGAAAGTTTCTTCATTTTGCTGGTTCATTCCCCAGTTGACCGCAATGAATGGAGCTGAACTGATCTGAAGCCAGGATGGATCCAAGATCTGCCTTGAGGTTTCCCACATGGGTACAAATGCACAAACCTTGGATTATGCTCCACTACTTTCTCAGTCCAGAAGCAGGGAGGTGGATGCAGAGTGAAATAGTCGAGATATAACTGTCACCCAAAGGAACCCTGATCTTACATGGGGAAGGATTAGTACATTGAGACTTCGCACCAGGCCTGACTGGCAGAATTTTAAAACTTTTTCTTTGACCAAATGCATACCTTTGATTCTGAGTGCTCCATTGTATCATTTCTTCAACATCTGCCACATTCCATTTCCATGCAGTCATGCTCACAGCATTCTTTGATCACTACTCTCTTCGGTTATATGAAATAACTACGCTTTATACAATTTGAGTAGTCACTTATGATCTGCAGTATTTTGAATCATTTCCTGTTTATGTATCTATTTTTATATAATGGAGTTTAACCACCATGCCTGGATACTTGAAGCACGTACTTCTGCATACATGGACAGAGTAAGACCTCTGATTTGCCTATTTTGTGTTAGCAAATTTGCCTACTCACATCTTTCTGCAATCACAAGATCATTACTTGCAGTGCCAGTCAGTGCAGGGACAGATGTGGTCTGTCACCTGCACCAGAAAATGCACAAACTGATAGATGCGGCTGCCTGATCAGTTCTACCTCAGCCCCATTTCGGTTTTTTTATACAAACTTTACTTTGTAATGATTACATGGTTGATCAGGGTGGGAAGGGTCAAGGTTTAGGAAAAATTCGATAAACTCATTGCTTCTATATTTGCTATTTATTCTTATTGTTTCTGGGGGAAGGGGAGAGACAAAGGGGGAAACCACTCACGACTTTCCACGTGTCTCAGTACCCAGGAACGAGGAATTGCCACTTCATATCAACCCAAAGTCTCAATGTATACATATCCTGAGGGTTCTGTCCAAGTGGTTTGGATAGTTTGGAAATGCTGCTGATTTCACCAATCTGAGGATGATGTCACCATCCCAATATCCATTTGCTCCATTCACTGATATTTTTTGCTGTCATCATTTGTTTGGGGTAGCTGTCCAGTTAGTTCTGTTCTCTCTCTTCTGCTACAGCACCAAAGATGTTGCCATATTCTCCTTTTACAACATGATCTGTGTCCTCTGCTCCACCTTTTTCATTAAGTGGGACACGTCTTGCAGGCAAGTCAAGTACCCAGGTCAGGCGACCTAAGCCCTACCAGATCCCCCATCCCTGGTGCTCTTGAACTTGACACCCACAGCCCCATATCTTACATGAACAGACAGGTGCTGCAGCCCAAACAACCAGTCCACCATAGACCAATGCATACCAGTGGATGCTGCAGCCTAGTGTGAGTAATCCAACCAAGAAGACTCCCAGTCCTCCATCTTTCTGCATGCCATCTCCTGCTGCAGCCTAGTCTGGCCAAATTGGTATCCCTTCTGGTTCTCAGTGCACACTTGTATTTGCTTAGCTCAGCCTCACCCACCTCTAGACCCACCCCACACATATGTTAGTGGGTGCCACCACCTTGCCCAAACCAGCCTGCCTGCAGTCCTTATTCTTGAGCTTACCAGTGATATGTACAGTCCAGCAGGGAGTGCCCACAATACTCCTGTAAGGCATGTTCCCAGCCCTATATCTTGCACCTGCTGGGGAGTACTGTGGTCTAGCCTAACATGATTTGCACCCGGTCCCAGCACTTGCCAGCAGGTGCTAAGACTTAGCCTGGCTGGCCCATATGCATTCTGGCTCTTGTGCATGCCAGAGAGGATGCAGCCTAGCCCATCCTGGCCTGCCACCTGGCCAGCTCATTCCCAGCCCCGGCTCTCATCCTCACAAGTAGAAACAGCAGCCCAGGGAGTGCGTCCTGAAGTGCCTCTACCAGGCTTACACCCAGCTCTGAATCTTGCATGTGCCAGCAAGTGGTTTGGTCTAGTCTGAGGTGGCTTGCCTCAAGTCTTGGGATTTTCTAGCAGGTGCTACTGCCTGGCCCAACCTACCTGCCATTAGTCTCGATTCTCAGAGGCCCACAAACACCTCTCTACTGTGTAAACAATACTAAAAATACAGTAAAACTTTTTTGCAGTGCTTTCATGGTTATTCTCATGTATGTTTAATGCAGTGAAAATTTTGCCACCCATGAGGCCATCGCAATGACTCATTGGCTGATCCTCTGACTGCAGGTATTGGGATCCCTTATGGGTACCAGATCATATCCCTACTGCTCCTCTTCTGATCAAGCTCTCTGCTTGTGGTCTGTGGAATCAGTGGAGGTTGGCCTAACGTATTGGGGCCCTGTACCAAAGTGGAAGACTGAGAGGAGGCTCCTGGCTTCAGATAGGCTCCGCTCTAGCCTGTGTGGCCACTTGGGCAGTGAATCTGTGGATGGAAGATCTTTATTTCTTTCTCTCTGTAAATCTGCCTTTCCAATAACAATTTAAAAAAGATTTTTGAGTCACCCTACACACATTTTCATTACAGAAGTCAAGCAAGGCAACACTGCCTACCTCTTTTGACCCTCCTACAATAAATATTCTTTTTTGGTTAACTAGTTAGCATTTTGGTGTGTGTGTGTGTATGTGCATGCCTGCGCACTTTTGTTAGTGACTAATATTTAAGATGACTCTCTACATAGTGGTAACTGCTGTCTAGTAACTGAAAGTACAGAAAGACCATCCAGTGCTTTACAGAGAAAAGAGTTGACAGTTAAGGTTTGTTTAGGCATGAGTTACAGTGTTATTGGCTGTTCATTGATTGCTAGTGTACTCAAAGCATGTTAAATAAAGTATATTCAAGCAAACTTACATGATGCAGGGTTATTATTTATTTACTGGCTGGTGAAAGGGTTAAGAGCAGAAGTTCACAGAAACTTATCCCTGAATTTCCCTTAGGATCATTGATTTAACATTTGCCAGTCCAGTGTTCATGGAAACGTTATGATACAGAATACTATTGATTTTGATAACTGTCTTCATATATGCGCATTTTTGTGTGTGTTGGCATTAGCATTCTTTAAGAGTTTGGGAGAGGAGCCAGAATATGCTAAAATTAGGTAGTTTGCCTGATACTGTTTGCCAATCTGCTCATCTGTAAACTCCAGGCTTTTCTGCTCCCTATTTCACAAAGAGCTTTATTCACTATAATAGCTGCAGAATCCTAATTATTATAGGAGAGCACATCAAATTATTAGTGGGATATAGAAACAAAACATTGAATTTATATTTTTTTGCAAAACATTTTTGAAGTACATATATAGTTTATTACATTTGTTTGTAACCTTCATTGAGGACTTTTCTTGCATATGCACCAAATATGATTTGAATTTGTGTTTCAAAGAAGTAATGAAAAACCATGATACATATAGAAAACTAGATAACTGTGATGTCTCTAAAAATTACATGCTATTAAATTTCAGTCTATTGTGTATTTACAGTGATTCCAAATATTAGAAGTACAAGAATATCTTCTCTTTCAAAGCTGATTTTAATGATTTGTTCAACCAAAGCAAACACATTTTATATTCCTAATTGTTGCAATGAAAATCTGACCAGTATCCAAACCTTAAACAAAACATTGGAGCTATGGAAATGTAACCATGTCCTGATTTGTTTTCTGGCCTGTGGATGTTCATCTTAAACTTTTATCTGCATTGTTTGTAATGTTTACACAAGACTAATTTGCCCAGATCAACTTAACTGTCTTTACACACTTAAACATCTAAATATATAGAATTGTATATATTGATATGTATTATTTTATATTTGAATTCTTTGAAGCAATTGTTTAAGGGAATATTTTGAAACCTAATAAGTTGAAAATAGTTGTTGGGAACATTTTAATAACTGTTTTCTCTCTCTTTTCTACTGTGTTTTTTTTTTAAGTAGATGGGATGGGTTCCTGAGGATAAGATGTATATCACTTTACTTTTGTTTTTGTACTTGCTTCTCTGTTTCAAAATGATTTTAACTTAAGAATAAAAACAGAAAGCTCTTACCATAGGATATCCAATTCAGTCCAGCTTGTTGGCACGGGGTCATACTGAAACAAACATTTGTATACAGTGTTGTGTTTAGAACTTAGTAGTGTGATAGAATAATGTCACTGGTTGTTGGGCATGATGGCATATGTCTGGCACATGCCCACAATGGAGTGGATTAGCTTCATAGAGTGTTTTCTTAACATTACATTTCCTTGAAAGCCAGAGTCAAGATAGAGATTCAGCATCTCTAATGAATCTCTGAACAGCTGTCAGGGACATAGTTGAGTGAGGATCTTCCAACAGAGGCACAACAGGATCTCATTTTATATCTGCTGTCAGCCTCCTCAACACATCCTACAGTGTCAAAGAGGGAATGGAGTGTCCTGTCATCATGGAGCTGAAGAAATTTATTGGTTTCATTTGAGAATTCATGATTTCTCTTCTTCCTTAAATTAATTATATAATGCATGGTCAGTTACTTTGCGATCCTATATTTGAGGAGCAAAGTCTTTCAGAAATCATGGTATGACAGTTGATATATTTTTCCCCAGTTTAAAACACAGCTGAATTCTTTTAGGCAGATAAAATTGGTTGGCTCCGTCACTTCTCCAACTGGGCAGAGAGCACTTGCTATGTGTCGTGGTAACCGTGTAGCTTTGACCTGCCCACACTCAGTACCCACATCAACTGGGTGTACCTATACAAGCACCACTCAGATTTGCTTAGCAAATTCCCCTCAGCCTCAATCCTGGAGAGAACACAAAGGCAATTTGAAGGATTCCAAACTTTTCAGCCTTTAGGCGCAAACTTGTTTTTTTGTTTTGTTTTCCAGTGGAGATTATTGAAAACCGTAATTCTTTTTTGCTTCAGGAAAGGCTGTCAGAGGAAGAAAAAAACCACAAGGAAGCTTTGGAAGATCTTCGCATGGTGGTAGATGAGGATTCGAGGAGCGAAAGCAGCAGCACAGATGAGGGAAAAGACAAGACGAAATTGCTGTTAGAAAGATTGAAAGCTCTTGAGGTAAGAAATAAGCAGTTTTTACACTTTTAAAGAAAAATATCAGCATCTGCTTCTTTCATTGAAACTGGTTTTGAGCAAGGATAAATCTTCCTTTCTTCGATCTTCCAGATTAATGCAATTTAGTGTCTTCCATTGAGGTCTATTTGTCAACAATGAGCTAAAAGTTAAAATTTGTAGTGCTGAGAGGGTCTTGGCCCACTAGCTATGATTATATGGCCTGAGAAAGAGTATGTGACAATAATTCACTTTAAGCTCAATTCTGCCTTTAAACTAGATCCACTGTTAAAATTGCAAACTCCTTGAACGAAGGGACTACATGATATTTCACCCTGTCTTCCTACTATCTTATAAATGAATAAGGGAAGGAATAAGGAAAGCACCCAGTAGAACATAAGGATAGTTATAAATTGCATATAAATTTTAAGCAGTAGAACTGTTTCTTCAAAACAAATATCTCATGTAGAATTTCAACACATAAGGCAGCACTGTTAGGTCCTTGAGTCTCTCCCACCACCATGGTTGACCCATATTGAGATCCTAGTTGATGGCTGTGTTCTGGCCTATCCCCAGCTTTCGTGGGCATTTAGGAAGTGAACCAATGGATGGGAATGCATTGTCCAATCCATATCCACATGTATCTCTTGCCTCACAAGTAATTTTAACTTTTTTTTTTTAAGTAGAACTAAAGCCAGGCTATAGTCTCCTTTAAGGAAGTTTTGGGAATTGAGTGGCACTTGACAATATAGTTTAAAACCACTGATGCGTTATTGGTGACATTTGACATTACTTCAAGTGTTAAATTCTGAATCTTTTATAGTGGTCATCATAGAATATCCCAGTTGTTAGTTGTGGTTGAGATGCAATGGATTAAAAGACTTAGTGAAACCATATTTTTCTATGTGATTCCCTGATCCTTTCCAGAAGTTCGCTAGGACCTTCACCCACCAACTGAGACTCTAGTTGTACCCTAGAGTCTATAGAACCTTGAAAAGTTCAGTAATGTAAAGAAACATGCTTGGTTTCTGCAACTACAATGCTCTTTATTTACCCTTTATCCAGAGAGAGTATATCCATTTCACTGCAATTTCCATGGCAAAGACATGACACAAGGATTAAAATTATAGATTTAAAGTAGGGATTAAGGTTGCAACCAATTTTTAGGGTTGGGTTTTAGTCTGTGCTCCAGCTTCAAACTCTCTGAGAATTTATAAAAGCCTCTGTTTTCAATTGCAAGCATATCTAATCTTACAGGAAAGTAAGAGACATCAAATGACTGATTTTTACAGCTAAGCCTGGTGTGTGATGCCCCATATCCATTTATCCTAAGGGTTTCTTTACACTTCATTTCCCCTGTTTATGTAAATACGGTAATAGGTGCAAGAACTATGAAAAAAAAAAAAAAACTTCAGCTACTCCACACAGATGTGACTGAATGTAAAGAAATGAACAGGTCTCCTCCAGCACAGAGCAGAAAATAGGTCAGCTTAGGGAACCTCTGAAGCTCATCTTTGGAAAAGGGCAGAAATCATCCCTGAACCAAAGGTTCTCATAGTTTTGCCATAAATTTTGAATTATTTTATTTATTTAGTTAGTTAGTTGAAAGGCAAACAGAAACACATTTCTTCCATCAGCTCATTCATTCCTGAAATGCCAGCAACATCCAAAGCTGGGCATGATTGAAGCTGAGAGTCAGGAACTCATTGTGGGTCTCTCCATTGTGGGTATTTAGCAGGAAGCTGGAATTGGAAGCAGAGCTGAACCTCAAGCTCTCCGAAATTGGATGCAGGGGTCCCAAGCAGCATGTTCACTGCTGCACTAGCTGCCTGGCCTGTGCTTTTGATATTTTTAAAAATCATTCTTGTAAAAGCTAGTATGCTTTTGCAAGGGAGACTGAGATTACTATTTTAGAGTTTTCAGAACTGACAACTTTGCTTTGAAGTTGAATGAACTAGATCCAAACAGTAGGAATGCATTGACATAACAGTTTCTTGTTTCCTTGGAATCGTGTGCTTAAATTATTAGTTTTTATTTATCATTATAGGCTTTGAATGGCTTTTCTTTAATGAAACTAAGAGGTATTTCACAAGCGTCTTTGGCAGCAAATGTATTATAAACTTCCCTGAGTGCAGGAAAAGTGCCAGTTTATTTTTCCTTCCACAGAATTCTTTTTTATTTAAGGTGACAGCTCTTGCATCCAGCATTAGTTGGATGCAGAATTTGATATCTTTAAGTGCCATTGAATGTCCGAATTTACATTCACAAAAAATCTGTTTTCCCAATTTTCTAAAGCCAACATGTCACTGTGAGTTTCCTAGAATTCTATTTTCAGTATTAAGTAAATGGTCTTTTTATACCCAAATATCTTTTCTCTGCTTGAGGATACTCTCAGATTTTATTGTGTAACATATAAATGCCTTTTTAAAATTTTATGTGAGAGTATTTCAAGAAGGTTTTAGCAAAATTGGATTATGGGAAAACTATACCAGGGTTTAGGGTGTTTTCTCCCAAAAATGTATTCTTCAATTTCATTTTCCATACATGAGTTATATCTTTAATATAATCAGTTTTTACAAGAAGTAAAAATGCTGTTCTGTGACCTTACATATACTCAAGGCATAGCAACATTTGTGTGAGTTAAAAACCATGCTTTGGAGGCCTGGTTGTGGTATAATAGGTATGCTACTGCCTGAGTTGCTGACATCCATATGGATAACAATTCAAGTTCAGGCTACTCCACTTCTGATCCACCTCCATGTTAATGTGCCTGGGAAAACAGCAGAAGGTGACCGAAGTGCTTGAGCCCTTCTGCTACCCATGTTGGAGACTGGGAGAAAGTTCCTGGATTCAGCCTAGCGCAACCCAGGCTGTTGCAGCTTTTGGGGTGTGAACTTGCTTATGGAAGATCTCTCTTTTTCTTTGTTTCTCTCTCTGTAACTTTGACTTTCAAAACAGTTTCTTGTTTTTTAAAGCTGTTACTGGAAAAATAATAGGTTCATATTTCATTTAGAAAAACATGGTAATTAAGTATGTGTTAGGTTGAATAAGAGTTTGCTCTACTAGATTATACTCAACCATGGAGGTAGGAGAATTAAATTACTGAACATAAACATTTGTTAATCAGTAATCCTTGTTTATGGTTTAAGTAATCAACCCTGTTGTATATCACAGTTCTACATAAAATTTATAACCCATAGATAAATAGTGAGAACATTCTATAGGTACTGGAATGTGATCAGCTTTCAACTATAATGAGAACAGCTTTCAGCGATAATGAGAACAGAGCACAGACTCATCTGTGGATAGACACCCACCTGGATTTACAAACTTGAATTAAACACTCCTTTGCAGTATGTCACAGGAGTTGACCATACTGTTTCAAATGAAATTTTGGGAAAATTACACGTCATATAACACTGGTTTTCTATCTGTGTGTTTTTAAAGCAATGATATCTGTATGCTGTCTCTTTGCCCTTGATATGGTGGGAATCAGAGAATGTTAGTGTGATGGATACTGCTGTTCTCCAAAATAGTTCCCAAGAAAGTATGAGAAAGGAGATGTAATTGACTTCTAATTGTACAGTTTTGTATTAGTGGTAATTAGTAGTAATGTTCGAGATCAAGTTGGGCTGTATTGAGCAGCCCTGAACTTTAAGCACTACTGAGTCAGCCCCTCGTCCCAAGCTGAGGAAGAACTTAGCCTTTCAGAAATGTTTCTGTGATGTAAAATAATGTGTTAAGTAAAAATTTTTCTATTGAATTCTTTCAGTCCATTAAAGTGCAAGAATTGACTTGATGAGCACAAGATTTTATTAATCAGTAATCCCTGTTTACAACTTATGGAATTAGTCCAACCTGGCTGTGCATCACAATTTTATGAAGAATGTATATTCAATGGGTGTATACAGAATATTTCCCATAGGAACTGGAATTAGATCAGTTTTCAAGGTTTACCATTCAGATGGACAGTCTTAGGAATCATGCTGTTAAATAAAATCATAATCAAATTAATTTGAAAATATGTTTCTAGGGTTATTGTGGTACAACAGGTTAAGCTGTTATTTGGGATACTTGTATCCAATATTGGAGTACTTGTTTGGGTAGTAGAACCCCCACTTCAGATTCCTATTAATATGCCTGGAAAGGTAGTTAAAGATGACCCAAGTCCTTTAGTCCTAACCACCCACATAGAAGCTTCAATGAAGGTCTGGGCTCCTGTCTTGACCAAGTCCCAGCTGTTGTAAACATTTAGCAAGTGAACAGCAGATGGAAGATGTTGTGTACTCTCTCTCTCTGTCATTCTGCCTGTCAAATAAATACATAAGTCCTTTAAAAATATCATTTAGAAAAATTTAGGTGCTGTATTAGTAGAGACAGTATGATACGAAGTGGGAGAAGAATTAAGAGTCCTCTGATGTGGGACCATTTATATGTAATATAAACAATATCAAGTACATAACTTGGTGAACATTCCAAGAAGATGGAATTTCAAGTGTAAAAACCTGTTTGGAGCATGGTGCAGAGATGAGTTAGAATGACAGCTGGAAGAACTATGTCCTCGAACATAAGTTACATGATGAAAATGCAGGAAAAAGATTGATCAAGGAGGACTAGGCTCTATAGAGCCTTTATATGCCACATTTTTAATAAAGATGCTGAGAATAAGTTCAAAGGGCAGGTAGTACAGATTTGAACCTAAGAAATACATAGTATAAATTCTACATTAAAGCGGTAATTCTTGCTGCTTCTAACAGCTTCTAAATCTTCTAAAAGAAGATTTTTTAGACTCCCGACAAAATATGTTAGTAGACTCGAATGAATATCTGGAATTAATAGGCTACATTGTTGCTGTATTAGTACTTCCAATGGGCTAGAGGACTGGTGTAGAGTAGTAGGGACCATATTGGCAAACCCTTAACATGGGGCTTACTCTGTCCCAGCACTGCTCTGATAATTGTATACTATTTATTTATACTATTTTAATGATAACACTGCTGTCGGAA